TGTAGCCTAGTGAACCAAACTGAGAGGCCATTTTGAAGGCTCAGGAAACCTTTGCAGGTGTTTTGAGTTGATTAGCTGATTGGCATGTCACCATATTCTAATTTGTTGAGATAGTGAATTGGTGGGTTTTTGTTAAATGTGAGCCAAAATCATCACAATTAAAAGAACCAAAGACTTAAACTACTTCAGTCTGTGTGCACTGAATTTATTTAATACACGAGTTTCACAATTTGAGTTGAATTACTCAAATAAATGAACTTTTCCACGACATTCTAATTTATTGAGATGCACCTGTATATATATATAATTTCTTGAATGCATCTTTATTTACAGCTTAGTATTCAGTCAGTGCATTTGCATGAATCAAATGCCACCACACTATGTACAGAAATCCTTGCTTTCCGAGTTACAAATTGTGTTTGGGCTGAATCTCAAGACTCTGTGGGAAATATATCAGCATCACGGTCGCTGTGATTTTGCCAAGTAAGACATGCTCCTGGATCAACATCTTTTGTTGATCCAGGATCAACATTACTGTCCAAAAATATAGACTAAACCCAATCCCTACCCCTAAACCTAACCCTACCCATAATTTATTCCTAAAATCAGTGTGAAATGATAGCTGATTACCAAGGGTGTAGAAGCACCTAATCTTAGCACCTGATCGTAAGCCTAAAACAGATATTTCCTGAAAATGTATCTCTCAATTCTGATTGGCTAATTGGAATGTTGTTCCAGGATCAACAAGGATGTTGATCCAGGAACATGTTGTACTTGGTGAAGTCATGGTCACCCAGCATCACCTCACATTTGATTTGCATGCAGCAATGCCCACAAGAGGGCAGAAGCTCTTTTGTTGTTGTTGCCATCACATCACTAATAACCAATAGAACCTAATAGTCTTCATAATTACGTTTTTAGGAATGATCACCCTTGGAGCGCATAGCATGTGCAATTATGTATTTGTGCTGGTGTGAAGTTAGTATGAAGACAGATTAAGACTCCTACCTTAATGATTTCATTATAGAAGAAGCAGAGGGATAAAAGCTGTTTGTAGCTTAATGAGCGCTGAGACCATATGCTGATAAACAAACTTTGCCTTATGATGCTTCATCTGACTCGGTTTGTCCACTAATGACAATAATTACAATGAGAATCCTACTTTTAGCACCTTGTTAGTGATGGAGAAATACTGTATCACAATTTATAATCCACAACACGAGTTAATGACACTTTCCTTAATTTAACATGTATTTTCAGAGGACAATTCCCAGTGAACAGTGTTACTTAATTAAGGAATAGTCAAGATTTTGTCTTCTCAAGATTTGTGCTGGAATTATCGTTGAATGTGAGATCTTGTTGTCATCTAAAAAAAGAGCTGGTGCACTTGTAAGGGTCCCAAAGAGACAAAATGGCGGAGTCTGTGGCAGAAAAGAGCAGCCACACTAGTCATGTTACAACAGATCCTCTCTCCATCGATCCACAGAGGAAGAACCCTGCAGGAAGAGTTTATAGAGGTGAAATTTAAAGCCTGTTTTTCTGGGAGAGGTCCTTTCAAGGACAGTGACAGCAAGAAAGTGATGGAAATGAACAGCAGAAACAAAGTGTGTGTGTGTGTGACGTGACACCATACTTGGAATTAGTGCTCTGCATTTAACCCATCAGCAAAGTGCACACACACAGCAGTGAACACACACACACCGTGAACACACACCTGGAGCAGTAGGCAGCCATTTTTTACTGCGGCTGCCCGGGGAGCAGTTGGGGGTTCGGTGCCTTGCTCAGTCGTGGTATTGAAGGTGGGAGAGAGCGCTGTACATTCACTCCCCCCACCTACAATCCCTGCCGGTACGAGACCCGAACCGACTCTCTAACCATTACCACGACTTCCCCCCTAAATGCAATGCAAGAAATAATCTTGCATTCCTCATTTGTTATTTTCAGGCATTGTTTAGATGAATTGTTCTTTGTGTGTTATTTTTGTCTTTTATAACTATCCAAAGAATGGTAGACATCTGGGTGCTGTTGTGGGCCTTCTTTCACAAGCCGTTTCAGTTTCAGATACCAAAGATGAGGGTTTGTTTCTCTCATGCGTGCCTGCTCATACTGCCTTTGCGTTTCTTTAAGTTCTGTCCAGACTAGTTTTTAATTTATTATTCAGCTAAAGCTGGCAAAGAGAACATTGCAGGCTCAGAAAATTCATCCAGACCATAGTTAGATTCCCAATGGTGTGTAGATAGTCTTCTGTTTTTTGAGAGAGTATTATTATCATTTAGTTTATAGGCTATATAAAGAATAGATAGAGCGTCCATGCACAGATATCATTGTTCTTAGGCAGGGCTGTGAAGTTTAACACATACATTTGTCCTGCTTGTCACTATAGTAGCCCAGCCCTAACATAATTTCATTGTTCCTGTGTGTCTTTCATAGTCTGACACCAGAGGGCGCCTTATGTCCTTTTATAAACTTAAAAACAAAATCAAGCATGGTGCGTCTCTATTAGTTCTCCACAGTGGAGGTAAGTCAAACTATTTAAGCAGTGTCAGTGAATATTAGAGGTGACTGGGGCTAATTGTCCCACATTTTATTCTAATGAATGAATATTTCTCAGGGAGGTTTAGTTTGCATACCTCAAGTCTTAGCAATTGATCAATTCCAGTCATTACTGCCCATTAAAATAATGGTTTCAAACATGTTTTTTTTTTTGGAGTGATGCCATAGAAGAACCATTTGGGTTCTTTAAAGAAGCTGTCTGTGAACAGTTCTTAAACGAACCACTTTTGTCTTAATGTGAATAACATTAATATAAAAACATTTTTCCACCTGTTGTCCAATGGAAAGATTCCATGGATGTTAAAGTTTCTACATGTAATACTAATAAATGACCTTTTTAGGAATGCAGTTAATTTAATATGGTAAATATTACAATGTAGTCACATTATTTAGGGTAAGTTGTCCAAATGAAACCTGTCATTAAACAAGGCTTTTTGTAAACAGTAAAACTAGGGTTCTTCAACAAGGTGTCTGTGGTGACAGACACATTTTAAATAATTCTTTGGCGATCTGAACCCTAACACGTTTTGTCAAAAAAGCCGGTTTTGTTCACTTTCAAGGCATCGTGAGTTCACGTTTTACTGCAGAAGCCGACCAGCGCTCTTGTTGTTTTTGAACAAAAGCCGATAAGTCCATTTTAGCGAATAAGCGCGCTGTATTCAGGTCAGGTGACAAGGCTACTTTCACTTTGAAAAGACGTGCTAGCTGAGAGAGAGGAGTTTCGTAAAAGCTGACTAAAAGTGATCAAGGATGGATAATTTCGACGAGCTTGATACTTGAACTGTGATATCTTCTTCAGGGTGAAAAAGGAAAATAAAAGCTGAAACGTTTTCACGGAACCTTGCAAAAGCAGCGCGGTTCCAATGGTGAGGGAAAAGCTCCGTGTATTGCGTATAATCACATCCATACAGTTTATGATCACAACAACAACAACGTTTGTCAGGCATCTACATTGTCATCTGAGGAGATTGCAAAGATTAAATGAGTGTTTTACCACTGATTTCTAGTCGTGTCCTCTTTTGGAAGGCCAAACAAAGTAGTTTAGCTTTCACAACGAAACACACAGCGTCACACGGCGGCCTAGAGTGAGCAGAGGCCGGCTTGAGTGAGCGGCGGCCGGCGGCCTTGAGAACGGCGCGGCCGGCGGATTTGATGAAGGAGCGTTCGGCGGGCTTACGGCAACCACATGTGACGACCCCGGGCTGGACTCCGCTTTGTCCACGGTGAAAGCCGATCTGGCTTGCGTGAAGTTGATGTATTTCCTCAGCGACCAGCACGGATCAGCTCCAGGCATGACGAAGCGGATATCGTCCTCTTTTGGAAGGCCAAACAAAGTAGTTTCGCTTTCACAACGAAGCACACAGCGCCTTCACGACATGGCGGAAACAACAATACTACAGCGAGAATAAAAGTTACACCTTCTTTCTTTACGTGAACATTTGGGCGGCATTATGCAAATCTTCCCACATCGTGACGTAGACATGTGGGGGCGTGTTAGAACGAGCCGTTTTAGATAGGTGTGGTTGACTCTTAACTTTAATAAAGAATGTCTCTTTGGATTTGAGACTTTAGTCTTTGCAACTTTACAGATCTTCTTTATGCACCAAGAGCTTGTAACACTCCAAAGAGAAAGGAAAAATTTAAATTGCATCATATGACCCCTTTAATATGTAAAAAACAATACTTTCAATGAACTTTAATTTGGTAAATGACCTGTATTTGTTTAAGTTATTATTACCTAATCAAAGAAACCCAACTGCAGTTTAATTGATATTACTTGGAATCGGTCTTTGCAAATTAACTCTTCATATATATGTGCCATATAACACGTGACAACTCACCTGGTCTTGTCCTCAGAAAAGCCTTTCTGCCTATATAGTTGACTTTTGCATTAATGTTTGCTAGTATGTTAGTTTGTTTAACCAACAGTTATAGTACAAATAAAAATTGAATTTTAGGATTTGGTTTGGAATTTATTTGACTTCCATGACCTCATATCTCCAGGTTTAGGGATAATTCAGCGTTTAACTGCTGTAAGGCAAGGCAAGTTGATTTATATAGCACATTTCATACACAAAGGTAATTCAAAGTGCTTTACATAAAAGGAAGTAAAATACTCATAAAAAAATAATCACAACAATAAAACAAAGAATTTAAAAACTTTTAAAATGATTTAGCTGTAGGTGTTTTAAACAAACATGTAAAGCCACTGCTAGAAAATTGGGTATTTTATATAGCCTAGTCCTGGATCACTGTAAAGTGTGTGTCTCAAATGTTGAGCAGTTATCAGCTGTGCAGAGCTGAACCTCTATACACTGACTGTCCAGGAATCCCGCGCTCTTCTGTGACGCGCGCGAGCGAGCTCCACTCATCCATCGAGTCACTGCCCACGAGCGACGCGCGCTCACACGGATGCGCTCCTGTCAGAGCTGTGAAGATTCCAGCGGCTCTGTGGGATTGAGCGCTGCCTCTCTCCTTTTTCTGTTTTTTACACGGATACACTGCGAGACTTTCCCCCTCTCCACAGGTTATTCTCGTTTTGTGGGTCCTTTTAGACTAGAATAGAAGCTGGTTTAGTGCACGGTGTTTCTTCTCTAAGTAAACTTGCTAAAAGTGGCTTTATTCGGCTCGGAAGGGATGATGATGGGGACTTTACGCGACCTCCAGTACGCGCTTCAGGAGAAAATTGAAGAACTGAGACAGAGAGACGCGCTCATTGACGAACTGGAGCTCGAACTGGACCAGAAAGACGAACTCATTCAGAAACTGCAGAACGAACTGGACAAGTACCGCTCCGTGATCCGCCCGGCGACCCAACAGGTCCAGAGCCGCTCGGAGCTGCAGGAGCATCAGCGCACCAAACGCCAGGCGATCAGCGCCGAACCCGCCAACGTCCAGCAGCTGAGTCACGTGACCCTGCCCAACGTCCCCAAGAGTGCCAAGTAGGTTAACTCGATACAATATAACATCAAAATCATTCAAATACGACATAAAAGTAATCAAATGTTACATTTAAGCCATCGAATGCGTCAATAAAAGCATCACATACTACCTGAAACTCGCTACCTAAACTTTAATAGGCTACAAAGTGGAGTCATCACCAAGCTATGCTGTCTTTAATGTGTTATTTGAGGAATTAAAGTTATTAAACACCACATGAAGCTCTATAAATACATCTAACCGTAAATGTAGCATACTAACAGCAGCAATCGATGAGAAACAACTTTCTTGCACGTAAATAAAAGCCGACCAGCTCACAGTTATCAACATTTTTTTTATATATATATTTTTTGTTTTTCAATTTTTGAATCTGACAAGATCCGTTCCCACCGAACCCAAGGTTAGCTTAAACCCTGTAACATGGATGGATCCCTACAAGGAGACAAGAAGCTTAACTTCAGAAGATGCCTCAGTACACCAACTATTTGCCTAGTGTGTCATACTGTGTATTTGGACACTGTATACTGATTTGACACACTGCTTTTTGCATAAATAATGTGGACAAGAACAGAATGCGTACTTTAAACTTTACTGAATTCACCTGCTGTTCTTCAAAACATCATCCATAAAATGACTTTAGGTTTAGCTAAAATAGTAACTTGTATTTATGTTATTTTTACACAATTTTTCATCCTAACTGTGGCATTTTGGCAGTGGTTACCATAGTAACTTTCTTGAAAGGGACAGCAGTATCATGGGCTGTGCAGGTTGCACAATTGAAATCTGAAAACTCACAGAGACAAACTCATTATACTCTGTTCAAAATGCCATTCATTAACATTTACAGAAGCGTCTCATTGATGACGCTCCAAGAAAGTTTGATTTTCCACTAGGAAACATCTGAACCAGGAATAATGTGTCCGTACTGAGCAGTTATAGAAGCAGTGACGTGGGAAATGCCCAAAGACTATAATAACTGCTTTGTTTAACGGACTGGTAATTTGCTTATCAAAGCAGCATGATATCGTGCAGCAGGTGGATCACGAACGCTATTTACATGCTCAGCTGTTATTATGCACACAATAGTGTGTCGTGTTGTGTTTCAATTGAAATAGACACTGTCAAGCCCAGAGGATCTGATCAGACTACACAGTTCCCCTGGAAGTGAAGGATTTTTGTGTTTCAGCCTGCTGTCATGAACACACATACCCTTAATTAATTTGCATCTAGTGGTTTAGCAGCAGAGGAATATCACTCTTCTGTTTAATGGCCTCCCCCATCTGCTGTGCATCTGACATTTGACAGCTCAACACTGTACTAATTTACAACGTAACCTTGTTTTGTACAGGAAACCCCTCTGAACCCTATCGCAGCAGAGCCTTTTCTTCTGTTCTGCTTGCATCTTGAGCTGATCAGCACTTTAAGGAATGATTATAATGATTTAAATGAAAAAAGCTTCCATGTTGGGCTGCCAGATGGGAACAAACTGGAATCAATATTGGTTTACTCTTTGAAAGCTCATAATGTGTTGGAAGAGGATTCTATATCTTTGTGTGTGGTCAGAGAGATGACTGTTATTTTTGGATGAAAATCCATTTATCTTTATTCTGAGTGTCTTTCTTTGCTGATGCATTAATGTATTCACTGTTCTGTTGATTTCTTTTTTCGAAGTAAAGGTAAATACTGTGCTTTCGGCAAAATTCATAATAGTGAGTGACGTACCCCTTTCTTTTCTTTCAGTAGAGTGTGTTTTTGCCATTTGAATGTCACCATGTCTCTGTCTCATAATTGCATCTTGCTTCTGATTCATTTTTGCAGTTACCTTTGCATTGGCACTTGTTACACTTAAAATGAAAGACCAGAATTTTTTATTTTTTTTGAAGTCTTGATTGAAATGTCTCTTCTGAACTCATCTTTGACACCTGGGTTGTCTGAGGTCTTTTGAAATATCAGAGATCAGAAGTTCTGCACTGAAATAGGAATGTCTTGGACCCTTTGTCCTTTGGATATGAGAATTCATCACACATCTGAAAACATTGTCATGTTTCTTAGTGGTTAAAGCTGCAAGGTTGCAGGTTGGATCTTCACAAGGAGTTAGCCATGAGCCTGTAGAAAATGAATGGTAGAAATGGTTCAATATGTCAGCTGTAAGAAAGGAAGTTTATTTTTCAAGTAAAACCGACTGGCTTATTGCTAAAGACACTGCTTTGTCTTGTTGTGCATGGACATTAACAATAGCTACACAGTGGCTCTGTTACCATTTTGTCAGATTTTGTTAGCATTTTTAAATTTGTTATTAAATCATAAGCTTACTCAACAGTTTCCCCTTTAAAACAGATATGATTAAAGTGTTTATTAATATTTTGTAATTCCTTTAATTTTTATATTTTCAGTTTTCATTTGAATTCTATTTTAATCGTTAATAATGCTGTTTTTTATTGTCATTTTATTCGTTTGTCAAATATTTATATATAGCTTTAATAATTTGTTTTATTTTAGTTTTAAGTAATTTTAGTATTTACATTTAAACTTATTTCAGTTAGTTCAGCTTTTTCATCTAATATTTATATTTTATTCAATAACCAAAACTTATTTTTAATAGATTGAATTCTCGTTTTAGTACTTGTATACCTATTACAGAAATAGAAAATGTCAAGATGCCTGCAGAGTGGTCTAACTTAATCAGACTGATTCAGGTCCCTGTATCAAGTTCATGGCTGTTCAATGGCAACTTTGTACAAAAGTTGCAGAAACTATTTGTTCAGTTGTGTGGGTTTAAATATAGATTCTATTCTATCCCACTGAGTCAGAATATGGCTAAAAGCAACCACAACGATGCACTTACAGGCATAAGCATCACCATTTTTATATCTGCAATGCAAAAAATAAGGGAAAGATTATTTGCGGCTTCATTCTGCAGAGTAAGCCTAAATGTATAGAAATAAATCAACTTGGTGATGTGCAGTATGAGCTGCTAAATGCAGTGAATCTTTGCTTCCTGTTTTAGCACTTTGCACAGAAAATGTACAGAACAGAGAATAGAGGAAGATAGAGCCATTAACTCATTAGCACACATATCTACAGATGACCACAGAGCTACCACTGTCTTTCCAATGAGGCCAGAGGGATTGTGCAGTGAGGCCAGGGTATGTGAATCAATACAGACCCACCAGTCTCAGAGAAACTTTATACTGTACAGTACAGATTGTTTCAAAGCAGCTTCACAGTAATAAACAGGAAAATAACAATAATTTAAGGCAAACCATCAAATATGAACCATACAAATTCAAATTCTGCTGTAAAGCCGCTCTAACAGAACGATAGTGTCATTATTCAGCTCGAGTGTTTATAGTTCTGTTCAATTCAATAACTTTAAACTTCTTTAATTATGAAATTATAAAAGTTTAGTTCAGCTATAAGCAGCTCTACAGAAGACAAAAGTGGCATTATTCAGCTCGAGTCGGTTAAAGTATTTAAAATGATATTCCCTTGATGAAAAATGTTGCAAGACAAACAAAAGGCCTAAGAAACTTTCTTGCAGACGTTCAGCCATTGTGGCTCCATGTCCACAGCTTTCTCCAATTTACTCTGCTTTAAGCCGTAGCATACTTTGTCCTTTTAAGGGAGACAGTCTGTCGACCTGTGTGATGTGAATGTCCTCCTGAAAAAGGCAGTGAGTAAAATTCTAAGTCAAACAGAGACTGGTTACAGGATGATCTCGAGGTTGTCTGCTGTAAATGAGGCCAGTGATCTCTGTGCTTTTACTGGATGTAAAACATCTCCCCTGACTGTTCCCCCAGAGAGCCAATGTCCTCTAGAATTCAGACTGCCATACGAAAATACCACACCAGACTTGCAGAGATTACTCTGATTTTGCTCTGCATGTAAACACCTTTATGGACCTCCAGGTGGCTTATTGATTGTGTGCATGTCGGTTTATGTTTTAATAGCTAAAAAATGTATGTCAATTTAAATTGAAAATGTACTCATCCCAAGGCCAACCAAGATGTAGATGAGTTTGTTTCTTCATCAGAACAGATTTGGAGAAATTTAGCATTAAATCAAACATCAGCAAGCATCTTAATTTGTTTTCAATATAAAGGAATAGTTAACCCCAAAATTAAAATGTACTCACCCCTAGGCCATCCAAGATGCAGATGAGTTTGTTTCTTCATTGGAACAGGTTTGGAGAAATTACTTGCTCACCAATGGATCACCTGCAGTGAATGGGTGCCATCAGAACGAGAATCCAAACAGCTGATAAAAACATCACAATAATCCACATTTAATTCACCTGACTCCCAGTCCATCAATTTGTGTCATATAAAGAGGAAAGCTGTGTTTTTGTAAGAAATATCCATTATTAAGTTATTCTTAAGTTTAAATCGTTGTTTCTAATTAAAATATGAGTTCACTCTCCAAAATATTGTTTTCTCCAGTGAAAAAGTCTGAATCAGGAGAGAAATATGCACAGATCAAGTGCCGTTTACAAGTGAAAACAGTCCAAAACAGATCTCAACATGTTGTGGATTTTGATATGAATTATTAATTTTTTTTACTGGAAAGAGTATTATTATGGATAGAGAACTTTTATTTTGGCCAGAAGCGACCATTTAAAGTTCAAATGGCTTAATGATGTATTTATTTCTAACAAACAAACATCTTTTTACTTCACAAGATGTTAATTGATGGACTAGAGTCTTGTGGATTATTTGTGGATTTTGTGATGTTTTTATGCTGTTTGAACGGTCAGTCTGACGGCACCCATTCACTGCAGAGGATCCATGGTGAGCAAGTCATTTCTCCAAACCTGTTCCGATGAAGAAACAATCTCATCTGCATCTTGCATAGCCGAGGGGGTGAGTACATTTGAATTTTTGGGTTAACTATTCCTTTATACTGAAAACAAATTAAGATGTTTGCTGAAATGTCTTGTTGCTTAAATATTTCTCCTCAAGACCCTACTAATCTCAATATGATCTCAAATATCAGATTCCAGATCAGATCAGAATCCAGTTACACCAAATCAACTGAGCAGTGCTATTCACTTTTATTTCATTGCTCTTTAATTTTATTGTAATGTATGTCAACAGTTGTCTCATTTGTTTCTATTTTTATATCTTTTAAGTCAATACAATTTTCCTCAGGGTGAGACTGTCCGTGTGTGAGCCAAATGAAAGGAGTTCTACGTGAAGTACTGCAGACATCTTGAAAAAAAAAGGTCTGTTTTTGCTCGCGGCGGAGTATGTCTGTGGAATGTAAACACAGTGTGGTTCATAGGTGAGCGTTTGTGAGTTTTTGCAAATAAATCAGAAGTCTGGCTTAAGTCCAGGTCCACAAAAACAGAGGAGCTGCTGTCACGATGATAGGCTTTTTATTGAGGAGTGCTCGGAATTGTCATATAAACAGCGATAATCAGATTTAAAGAACATATTCTACCACATCAGTCCAGGTGTTTCCATCCGCTAACACTTGAGCAATTAAATGTCATTAGCAGAACTAAATGGATTTGCATAAATAATCAATTGAATTGCATAACGACTCTCTAAGCAGGTTTTAAAATACAGGTTTTCAAAATACAAATCCGTCTTCCATTTTTCAGTCAAACAGATCCACTTCAAAATGGTGGTGCAAGAAGTTCTGTCTGACAACCAAAGCAGTGTTTTGAGAGGCACAGTGTTTACACTCTTCATAACTCAGTCTCTGAACATTACTGGAGTATTTTATCATGAAAAAATAGAGAACATCTGATATTTCACAGAATAATCTTTGGAAATATTTAGCTATGAGGTGCATTTCAGAAAATTTTCATTACCGAGTCCCTGTGTGGGAGGTTATATTGAATTTTAATTACTTGAAATGTGTGTATCTGTGTATGTCTGTGATGCAAACCTCATTTTCAGCTAGTCTTCTGATTTTTGTTTGCTATGACGTCCAGTTTGTGTATTTTACTTTCATCTCTTGAAATACCCTCTTCATCTTTTTTTTTTTTAAACACACATTCCTTGTGGATTAATTCCCGAAGCATCACATTATTTGGATTTCCATACTGTCATGCAGTTCTTACTGTTTCGACAATGTGTATATAGTATGCATAGTGTGCAAATTGTAATACCCAGATGATGCACAACATTTGCCAAAATGTGTACAACAAAGTACAGTGCATTGGATCCTCTATCTATGGGGGTAGAATTGTTGCTTAATTCCAAATAAATAGATTATGATCCACAAATAAATATAATGAGATCCACAAATAAATCTTAAAGTTTCACAAACATGAATTAAATTCACAAATAAATAAAATGAGATTTGCAAATAAAAAACATATTCACAAATATATATTTATGTCACAACCACAACTTTGCCTGGCATTTATGGAGTCCACGTATTTGTGGATTGTCAGCACGTCTTGACGCAAGAAATGTTTCACAATTCGCAAATGCACAGGACGCGATTCACAAATGCGTGCAGCTATCTACAAATGCACAGGACGCGATTCACAAATAAATGCCAGGCAAAGTTGTGGTTGTGACATAAATATATATTTGTGAATATGTTTTTTATTTGCAAATCTCATTTTATTTATTTGTGAATTTAATTCATGTTTGTGAAACTTTAAGATTTATTTGTGGATCTCATTCTATTTATTTGTGGATCATAATCTATTTATTTGGAATTAAGCAACAATTCTACCCCCATATCTATCCCACAATGCAATGTGTTTGCATTACCTTCCAATTTCTTGTGATGAATGAAACTGCCAGCCATGCATAACAATATTAATAGTATCAGCTGTTATTTCTACTCATAGTTTGATTGAATTGCCAAAAGTTAAGATTAAAAATGATAAGTGGACACCACTCATGGAATTAAATTCGCACATAATCATAATGAGGTCATGAGGTCATATTGTACTACAATACTGTTTGAAATGTTTATAGTTGCATAATGCATTTTGTTTCACAAACAAGTTTTTAAATAGTTGTATTTAGTTTATTCTGTGCAGTAAGCAGCACGTTTCTATTTTAGGCATAGTCATTCTTTTCTGTGTTAATTAAATGATGTGGGCCTATTTAACAATGTTTTCCTGCACTGTACAGGTCAAAGGAACTGATCAAGTCAGCTATTCTGGACAATGACTTCATGAAGAATCTGGAGATGTCTCAGATCCAGGAGATAGTGGACTGTATGTATCCTGTGGACAATGACAAAAACAGCTGTATTATTAAAGAAGGGGATGTGGGCTCCCTCGTCTACGTCATGGAAGGTGAGAGACGGGAACAAAAAAAATATATATAAAAAAAAAAAATATGTTTAACAAGGCTTAGTTCACCCAAAATGAAAATTCTGTAATCATTTACTCACTGTAATATCTTTGAAGAGTTTTTTCTTCTGAGAAACACAAAAGGAAATGTCTGAGCCGCTCTGCTTATTTGAATGAACCTTGATTTCAAGTCACTGTCAGGCTGCCAAAAAGTCCCATAAAACTATCAAAACAGTTTTGTGTACTACATATGTAGTGTCTCCCAAAGCTTCTAAAGCCATATAATAACTTTTAGTTTGAAACAGACTAGGGATGCACCGAAATGAAAATTCTTGGCCGAAGCCGAACAAAATACCAAACATGCTTTTTCATGTCGAATATTATAGATCCTAGTCTGAACTTTATTTGTAAATATGTTACAATAAATGTATTAATAGAGCTGTTTTAATTCTTTTTTTTCTTTTTTTCTTTTATTTTACAGAATAACAGTAAAATTACAATAACATTTATTAATGTTGATGGAGTTCTTGCTTTTCCTCAACTTTTATTTTGGCAGAAACCCGCAGGAAGACCTCAGTGCTTCTTTTTGTTGACAAATGATTCTCATTACGAATTTGGGAAGACGTTTGTTGCACGTATTGTCACATGCCTTGTAAAAATTCATAAAATTTTACTGAGCAGCTGACGAGTAACACAGTTTCAGCGCAGATTTCCCTCGCGCTTTGGACTTTGAACCCTGCCGCCGTGAACTCGTGGAGCGCTGTTTGAACACGTGCAATTCCTGCGTTTATTAGAAAACATAACATTCTGCAGTTTATTTAATTGTTTAAAGGCATTTCGCGATTTTAATCATCATACAGTAACCAGCAACAACCACCCTTCCTCTTCTCATCAAAGACATGCGATGCAGTACCAAACAGTCTCTCGCTGTCGAGTTGTGTAATGATTTTTCCATCTTTCTCAGACAGCTTTAAATGTTTCCACACTGCCGTCATGTTTGCTGCATTAGCACGTGCCTCCATTTGATCATGTCACATCTTTGTTCGGTACAATTTATTCAGTCTTTTCGCTTATTCGGCCGAACACCGAAAGAGCTTTTTTTGCTATTTTCAGCCGAATAATTTCGGTTGCCGAACATTCGGTGCATCCCTAAAACAGACCAAAAGTGAATCAAAAATGTCTGGCTAAACTAAAGCCACTTAGTGTGTCTATAGGGCACTGCCAGTCCCAGGGATCAAATGCAGTCGCATTTGGGTTTCTGCTGTAGATCCTCTGAGTGGATCTGGAATATTGATCCTGTGCATAGATTGTATTGATTAGGTGCTTATAAAATTGATCTAGTCAGAGCAGCCAAATCCTCTGAGAGCTGTTACACTACAGATCTACACTACACTACAGAACACTGTTGACTACCCCAGTTTTAAAAGTTTTATTGGTATGGGCTTTAAACATGTAGAGTAGATATGCTGAGCTATAATGCCCAGATATACATTTTAATTTATATTGAAAGAGCCCTTCAACTATTTTCTTTTCATGGCCAAATTAGGCAAAAGGAAATTTGAGGGGTGCCCAGACCTTTTTAAAGAGTAATTCATAGGTATTTCAAATTTTAAGGTATTAACATAATAATGTTACATTTGTAGTAGTAGTTTTCAAATGAGGAAACTGGGGAAGAACATGTAAGATTTACTAAAGTGCATACCTTTGACAGTATATAGTAGTCTCTCAGAAATACACAAATATGACCTTCTAACATACATGAATTAAAATAAATGCATGCAGGTTCAGTAATGCTTGACATTTCTGTGCATGAAAATAATTAGACAGTGCTTGTATGCAATGAGCATGAATGCAATGAATGCTTCGTGTGCGCTTCGTGTGAATGTGTATGACATGTTAGCACGTTTAAGCAGTGTTATGAATGAGAGTACAAACATACTTTTCTATCCATGTGATTTGTTTTAAAATCATTGTGGACGTGGTCTATCACTACTTTTTATATATTTGTTTAAGCATCAGTGTTATTTGATACTCATTTGCTATTTTCATTAAATATTTGATTTTGTAATGGTGACACCTGCAGAAGTCAGGTTAGGATTGTGTCGGCCACTTGTCTCTGATGTCATTACATCTGTCAATACATCTGTCAATTTCTGTTGTTTAATGAGAGGAAGGAGCTGTTGTGTTTTCTTAGGATCACAGGATTTTCTCTGTCTTTCCTCTTTGTGTTCCTATGGGAATGGAGGAACACTTGGTTTGAATTAATGGATTTTGTTAGTCATGCTCCAGAGATTCGATGCTTTTGTAGTACAAATTGGGCACTTGCCCAACACACTATATCTGGGCACAGGCCAATGAGAAAGAGAGACTAAGTGGATATTGGCTGCATAGAGTCCCAGAACACATTACGGTATGTTGTTTTTACGTAGTAATATGTCAAATACTATAAAGTGTAGACACAAACCTATTTTTAATGAATTAAATCCATTCTCTCAGCATTAGCTCTGCCACATTCAGTTATTTCCATAGAAAACAGCAAAGGATTCAGAGAGAACGGAGATGGGAGAGAGGGAGAACGAGGACTGTTTCTTTGGGACTTTCTATTAGAAAGAGAAACAAACATTTCATGGCAGTTTCTGTCTTCCAGGATGAATTATTTACATGTGAGCAAAGTTGCAAACAAGAGACCAAAAATTGCAGATGAGCTGAAGACCACTGTCAAAGAAACCTGGGCTTCCATACCACCTCAGCAGTGCCACAAACTGATCACCTCCATGCCACGCCGAATTGAGGCAGTAATTAAAGCAAAAGGAGCCCCTACCAAGTAAATTAACATACTTTCCAGAAGGCCAAAAATTCACTAAAAATGTTTTTTTTATTGGTCTTATGAAGTATTCTAATTTGTTGAGATAGTGAATCTGTGGGTTTTTGTTAAATGTGAGCCAAAATCATCACAATTAAAATAACCAAAGACTTAAACTACTTCAGTCTGTGTGCATTGAATTTATTTAATACACGAGTTTCACAATTTGAGTTGAATTACTGAAATAAATGAACTTTTCCATGACATTCTAATTTATTGAGATGCACCTGTAGATTGCAAAGGCAGAGCAGTGAAGAGCTTGTGAGATACAGAATGACTTTAATGCTGGATGAATCCTCTATTCATATCATCATTTCATCAAAATCGAGGTCTCCATTTGAGAGTAAAAGGTCAGTGATGGAGGTTAGAGGATCAATAATAGTGATTCGAGCTCAACTGACTAGCATTTCCATTTGAAGCCCAAAATCACATTAAGTGAGTCCAGTAGATTTATGGTCCAAAAGAAGCTTTTGTTTGTGAGTGAGATATATCATGTGTGGACAGAGTATTTAAGCTTTCAGTCACACAAGAGGGACATTTCAGCTGAGATAATTAGTTTGGCCTTACGATAGGAGAGCCTAGACAGGAAATGATGCCATGCTATTATTGTGCCTTGAATGTCATATTAGCACGTGTGCTGAAGTCGCCATGCTAATTAGCCCCAATCTGAATAAATAAAGACACGCTTAATGACTGCAGATAATGTCAGCTCTAAAATTGCAGCTTGTGTATCTGATGCACAATTTCATACTACCCAAAAGTCATTTACCAGTAACCATTTGGAGAAGCCAACCACAAAATCCCTCCGTATGGAAAGTGTTCAGTCATGAAGTCAAAACTGACCCCATGCTTGACGTGCCAGGGCACATTATCCTAAAGAAAAAAAATGTTTTTATCAAAATGTAATTATTTTTTTTCAACCTCTGTAATAGTGGTTGACCTATATAGCCAATAGCCAGTGCTGATATGTAGAAATGGCTGATATATGCCAATATATTTTACATTCTGAAATCTGACATACAGTATTTTTTTCACTTTTGAGTGAAAGTGGATATTCAGTAATAAAAAAATGTGGGGTGGGATTAGAATTTCAAAAATAAAAGTCAATTATATAGCAGAATAGAGCTACAGTAGGTGGTTGAAAGAGCAGGAGTCGTTCATAAGGGAAGCAATTTCACAGGCTGAGCATTTTACATTACATTTTGATAAAATAACTTTATTTTATTCAAAATGTTATACACTGATGAATGATTAAATGCAATATTACTTGAAATGTGCATTGAAAAAGCCAAAAGGGTAAATTTTGATTTCATGCCGACTTTATTGATGACAAATGAATAGGTATGGATTGACCACAGGGCCCATTGTCCTCTGGGAGCTTTAACCAGTTTTTCCAACAATGACTCATTCCAAACATCCAAACAGCTTCATCTCTTCATACTGTTGAATGGATTTATTCAGGTTTTTAAAGAAAGAAAAAATAAATAGATTTCACTGGGTGACTGTTCTGTTCTAAAAATTTTCAGTCACTTATAACATCAGAACTGTGGTTATCCAGCATGAAAGGTTGGCAGGGAGAGTGTGTGTGCAGTAATGCTACAAATAATCATTATTTGTCACGTTAATGGACTGGGCATTCAAATAACGGTTTTTCTATGAATTAACTAGAACACAGTCCATTTCTACTCTGCCTTTCCTTGGGACATGCAGGGATTTTCCCTGCTTTACATACTTTTGGCCAATAAACCCAGTGATATCAGCGTTGGTTGCCATGCAACAAAGAGGCCTGTTCGACTTCCTGGGGTGTTACGCATTCCGGGGGGAAGGGTTCATGGGTCCTCATATGGCTTGTTAACTGAGGGGGGTTACAGAGTATTTGTTAAATATAAAAACCAAAATATATATTGTGTGTTTGATTGGTCCAGACGCTACAGTTGTAAATTTACCATAGTTTTTTGTCTGTAAATATTGTAGCTCTTGGTACTTTCTATGTGACATTGATATCAGAAGAACTTCTCTTGCTTTTAGGCTTATCTGGTGCTATGTTGAAGGTTGTGGCTTCTTTTTATTCTGATCACTCAGTATGACAGACAACAGAAGCTGTCTTGCAATTTGGTCAACCAATATAATGAACAATGTC